AACAAAAATTCTAACTAAATAATTATTGGTAAACAAAGATAAACGATTCGTAACTTAATTAATAAATACGACATTTAAGTAAACTCTCCTGTACGACATACAAATAATAAGGAAGATATCGTTATACTGGTTTAGAGAATGCTAGAGACGATATCAAAGAAATGATTAATAAGCTTTTAAGAATAATTTTGATACTACGACTATGAATTGACTTGTTAATATTCATATTTGGTCGTTAATTTAATTTGATTTTTACAGTATACAAAAATTTTACTAGAAATCTTGCTCCAATATATACGTGCGGCAACATTTCTTAATATGACAACTTTTCTCTTGATGATACCTTAAGGATGTCGATTTTTGATTTTCCCAAGCGGTTTTCATAATATCTGGAAAAAGCCGGGATAAAACGTACCAAGAAAAACGGAAAACTTACGAAAATAAAGTTTTTTAATCATGTTATTTATTGTAATTTAGTTTAAATTACTTTCAAAGATTTAAAATTTAGACATAGAACTTTTATTTACCTTTTCTAGATGTGGTAAAATTTTCAAACATTTGAATCCTTTTTGAGCTTTTTATAGACATTCTAATTTTGTGAGTTTTTTATGTAATTTTTATTCAGTAGGTACCAGAGGTTACGCACCTACTCTGCGGATAAAATTGTTAGACCAAATAGAAATGCTTGTAGATTAATTAGAAGATTTATTAAAAGTTGTACTTAGTGGTCAATAAGAAAAATTTGAGTTTAATGTAGTGTTTTTTTACTTTTTTTTAATATGAATTTTAATATATAATATTAACGAAAATCGTAAATATTACAGCCTTTCAAAACATGTAAAACCGAACTTTGCTATGAATTTAACCGTAAAAGAATGCTTAGGTGAAAATCAGTGTGGGTTTCGCAAAAGTAGGTCAACTATAGAAAAATTATCATTTATAGGACGTATAGTAAAGAAAAAATAAGTATGATTGATGCACCGTCAAAATATGTGGCAGATATCTTAGACTTTATGAAGGCCTACGACAGCTTCCATAGAAATAATAGCCTTTACAACATAATGGAAGAATTTGGCTTCCCAAAAAACTTAAAAATCTAACTAAATTGTGTATACGGGATGTAAAATACAAAGTGAGAGAGGACGGTATTATATCGGAAGCTTTTAGTGTTAAAACGGGACAAAAACAGGATGATCCACTGTCCCTATTATAGTTAACTTTAAAGCGATAAGGGTATTGCAAGTCGAATCCAGAGGAATAAACTTAGGTCAACACCACTTAAAAGTACTAGGGTTTGCATAATTACACTAGGTACACCACAATAATATTTATATCATCAGCCTACCTTCAATTTCAAAGTCCAATAGGCATCCGCTGCAGTTTATCGAACGAATATTAAATAATTTGGTAGGTACCTACTTATTATACTAAGGCCTGTTCTCACCAATGTAAACGTTGATTTTTAAACTGAGTTTATAAGACAATCGTCCAATCGTGGTCGGTTATCAGCCATAAACTCAGTTTAAGAATCTGTAATGTTATGCTCACGTAACATAATAACATACATAACTGTATAATTATTTATTATTTATATATAATATATATAAATATATGCGTGCACACATATTTTAAGTGTTAATTAATTAAATTAATTTATCCTAGTTAAATTGTGATTGCCGTACAACGACTCCAGATTCACGTGAGGTTATCTATAAGTATACACCTCAGCGTTCCAACACCGTGGACAGGTAATATAATTACATTTAACTTTAGTTATTCATTTCGTCACCATTCTTGGATTCACGACTCTGAAACCCTTTCGAACAAAGGAAGGAAGGTAGTAATACAACTAGTAGGCTGAGCCTTTATTATGATTAGAGATAAACTATTCTTTGTAGTAACAAAACGTAGATCGACTGTTTCACACTACATAAACATATTTTTATACCTACTCCATTATATTACATTCTTTATAGGTATTTCAATGTGATTATCCTATAATTTTAAATATATTTGTCTTCCATTTCTATATTTAGTGTCTTAAGTCTACTATCCCATTAACCACGCCTCTCCCTTTATATTAACCCCCGTCTCAACTGCTTTTAAATAACCTCTTATTTGACCCCACACTTTTCCTCTCTTACCATTTTTCTTTACATTTCCTATTTTTTGTATTACTACAAATCAGAAACACCATTTTTTTTTACGTTTGTGAGAACGGCCATTAGATAATTTAATAATTGTTGATTGTTTAAATTTTTATCA